TTTGAAAAATTCCATGCAAACGGTGTTTGAGATACAGTGCTGCTCTTTTGCAACCACGTGAGTGCATCCTTGAATTCCAAGAGACTCAAAAGGTCTTCGCTTATCCAGGAAAGCCGAGCTTTGGATTCTCAACATATTTTACAAGAGGGTGCAGAGTTGGGATGTTTTAAAACCCAACAGGATACACAGCTTGCACAGAACTTCCAGTAAAGAAAGTTACTGCCACAACACTCGCAGCGGCATCTTAATTGCCTCTAACAGCCCATTATGATTTTACCTTTTTTCTTCGTTGCAGAAATAAGTTTATTGTTAAAGCGCCGAGCTATGAGACATCATAACGACTTTGGGAGGGCCTTTATTCAGCAGTGGATTGATCATAGCTCATGAGGATGACCACAAATGTAGTTCTTGGGAAAATTAGTTATGAATTAGTGGGACTCTACTTAGAGAAGGTGATATGTTATCTGAGCAAACGAGCTCATGCACCCGTATGTCATACACTGACTGCGAGGTTGCTTTTTTACATTCAGAGTCCAGCCAGGTGGGAGCATTTGCCATCTTGCGATCACTGATTAGGTTAACCAACCCCCATAAAAGAGACAAATTAAGTTGTTTACACCGTTGCGCGTGCACGATACTTTATGAGCACGCCCCACGCGATGAAAGAGGGAACCCGTTCAAATTAAAATATGGTCCGTGTTTTGTTATGTTTACTTGCATATATTACACTTGTTTACTCTGGAAAGCCCTACAGGATGGTACTCATAAGCAGAGGTCGCAAACGGGTTTGATTCCTTACCCGTACCCGGCCGCACCAGGGTCGCAAATGGGTAGGGAACGGGTACCCGTACCCGGCCGGGTACGGGTACCCGTTCCCTACCCGTACCCTACCCGAAATGAGTGACAAACGGTTACTAACCATTGACTCACAGCCTACCCGTACTCGTACCCGGCCGTACCAGGGTCGCAAATGGGTAGGGAACGGGTACCCGTACCCGGCCCGGGTACGGGTACCTGTTCCCTACCCGTACCCTACCCGAAATGAGTGACAAACGGTTACTAACCATTGACTCACAGCCTACCTGTACCCGGCCGCACCCGGGTCGCAAACGGCTACCCGTACCCGTACCCGGCTGGGTACGGGTAGCCGGGTATCGGGTAGGGTACGGGTATCGGGTACCCGGTTGCGACCTCTGCTCATAAGTCTTTGCAGTCGGGGGCGACGATTCCTATGCGTTTCCAAATGAAGTCATTTGAGAGTACAGTACTCTAATTATTCAAACAAATGGCAAACTGGATGATGACGCCGACACGTTGTGGTTTACTCTTCTTCAAATAATGTCACTGGATCTTTAACGTCTCCTGTGAAGCAGGCGGGCGTGTATCTATGGTTAATACACACCACAGTGCTAACCAGGACGGCCAGCCGGGTTCGAACCGTGAACCTCCAACTGGGCAATGTCACATCGCCAGCCCGACGTAGGGACGGACGGCTCTTAAATGGAATCAACGTTTTCTTATAACACGTGGTAGGCTTTCGCGACTAATATCATCCATAATAGAGGTTGTTTTGGGTTAGATCGCGTAAATATATAAAAGTGTCGTTAAAACCCGCAACCACCCGACACAGCCAACTAGTAAGGGTTGTCACGTAAACAGAACGTGGCCAATTCGTCACTTGAACAGCACACCGATGTGTTGGAGAGCCAAGCCACAACATTTACAATCTGAGCACGACGTTTCGCCAGTAATTACAACGAGCTTCATCAGGCAACAGCCAGATTTGTGGAGAAGTCCTCCTGTTTAGTTCCTTATATAGAGGCGTAGATGTGGTGACCACGTAGCTGCGCTCTTGCACAATGTGGTTGGGGATTACTGAGGCAACGTACATTATGCATGTGCATTACGCGAACCCTTTGAACTTGTCCTTCCTGTCTATTGTGTTTATTAAAATTTGAATGAACCCAAAAACCTCTATTATGAACTGTTCTCTTTGTCACGTGGGACGGTTAAGCAAACATCGGGCGGGTGCAGCGTTTAACGGACAGGATGCACTTTTTTAACCTCGCTTTCTACCGCAGCCCCCGTGAGTCATGATTACTTCGGACTGTGCTCACCTGATGATCACTCGCTGGTAGCTCAGCAGACAGAGGGAGGATCGTTGCCGATAGACATAACTGTCAGGTCACCAGTATTGGGTTCAGGCTTGAGACACTGATTGTTGAAATCGGTCCAGTTTGCTTGTTTTTGAACCAGCGCTGGTTGAAACGATGCACTCCCAGAAGGCCGTGTTTACTGATGGGATGTGTAAAAATGCGTCGATGTATATTGGACGTGGAAGGAGAGATATGTAAAGGACGTCGGTATTATTCCTCAGCAGCTCGAATTTGGTGATAAAGGACGTGCGATTAATGTAAGGGGCACATGTGTTGTGAGTCACACTTGGGCCAACTGAACGCAGACTTACCTGCACTACAGCGTGCATCTTCAATTCACAGACGTGTGATGTTACAGTTTGCAAGCTGTAGTTGGGATTCGAGATGGAGACGAATTTTACAGAAATCAGCCCCTTGTCAATCCACCGCTGGACGAGGGCATCACCACTACTAAGCCCCCATTGATCACGGGGGGTTTGTTTGACCATAAAAAAATACAAAGATCCACCATATAGCCTTAACAGGCTTTAGGGGCAAGTGCTGTTAGTAAGCACCTATAACGGCCGGCACGGCACACGAGGGGGTGGGTTGCCAACACCACGCCCAGCTGCATTTGTCTCCCTCGTGGACGATATTTACACATGGCACCAGGTACTCATTTGAGGGCTGAGTCGATCTAGGGAAGGCCCAGGACCGGTTCACATAATCGTCACTGGCGGTGTTGGCCGTGAGCGGGAATCGAACCCGGGTCGCCGGGTTCGCTAGCGCTAACCGCTACACCACCGCTCCCCATACCTCACCACACACACACACAGACATTGGGAGGGCACAGGTAGAGTAACACGATGGGTTCGACTGCACCAGATTGGGCCAAGAGTGACGTACAACAAAGCGTCCACCGTGTGTCCTTGCCAATGCCATGCTCAAGTTTTAGACTTAAGTATGACTGACGCATCATTTGGTTTAATGGGGAAAAATTAACCCGTAAAAACAAAGTTTTTCACTATAAATCCTTTATATGCGTGGCATAGGGGTGGCTAGAGTCCTCTCGTCCTCTGGCTTGAGATGGCTGCCACCTATGGGTCAGATGATTGTCTGGCAGCATTAACCAATTGGTAATTAAATATTTAAACTTTTTCCCCTAAACAGTGTAAAATTTAGAATTTTTTTTTCACGAAAATGCATTGTCACGCACAACGAGTCTGTGCAAAATGTCAGCTCGATTGGATCACGGGAAGTGGGTTAAAAAACGACCGAAAGATTTGCACGGTCCTAAGCAAGCAAGCAAACTTAATATAAAGGATTTAAAAATAGCTGCAATTTTAATATTCTTTGGGTCTTTCGGTAAAGTCACGTAGATAGGTTCAAAGAAAATAATAAGACAACAAAAAACTACGACGTTTCGATCGCAACACAAGCGGTGCTGATGACGTCCGCTTGTGTTGCGATCGAAACGTCGTAGATTTTGTTGTTGTTATTATCTTTGAACCTATCTACGTGACTTTACCGAAAGACCAGAGAATATGAATTCCTGCAGTCACGAAAGCTTTAAGTTGAGATTTAGCTGCAATTTTGTTTTAGTTTTCTGCTGAAGCGACTCAGATGCAGTTGGAATTGCCTGTACAGGGTGGTCCAGGTGTATTGTGACCCCCCCCCCCAAAATTAATTAACCCCTCTAAAATGTTTGCTCCTTTCCTTACTCATTTCTGTTTTCACACCCATTGGTATACTAAAAAAAGATTACGTTTCAGATAATTAAATGGGGGTCATAAGACATATGGACCACCCTTGTAAAGTATTTTGGACACTATAATACATTTAAATTGTAACTTCTTCACGCGCTTTTACACACTACGCGTAAAAGCGCGTGAAGATTCACAATCTTCACTTCGACCGGAGGAATCAGAAGAGCTGTGAAGCTCTTTCTCAAGGGCGTGTCAGCAAGTGAAACATTCACTCCCCAAGCGGCGATTCGACCAATTTCCTCGATTCGATTTTAAGGTTCGATAATTTCGTGCTCGTTCATAAGTCTCGTTCGAATCCTTTTATTTCTAATGGATGTATAATTCCAGAAACGCGTCGACTTCTTAAGCCTAATCACAACTTTAGAACAGTGCTGCTTGTTGCTGGCGGCGTGCGATCGGTGGTGACGTCACCGCCGATCGATTAATCCGACAGGGGGATACAATCGACTGGTGGTGACGTCACCGACAGCCGATTAATCGATCGGCGTCAACGACACTAGATCGGCGGTGACGTTGCCGCCGATCGATTAATCGACTGCCAGTGACGTCACCGCCGATCGATTAATCGGCTATCGGTGACCGGAAGTCGATTAATCGATCGGCGGCGACGTCACTCTAGTGTCACTAGATTAATCTAGTATCGTTGTCGTCACCGCCGATACATTAATCTACAGTCGATGACATCACCGCCAGTCGATTAATCGATCCGCGGTGAAGTAACCGCAGGCCGATTAATCGATCGTCGGTGACGTCACCGCCGATCGATTAATCGCCGCCGCCGCCGCCGGAGTTGTTGTTTGCCGGCGCGAGCGCGCGGGACGTGACGTCACGTTTGGGGGCGGTGGGGGCCGGCGCGAGTGGGTGGGAGGGGTGGGGGCGGGTGGGAGGGGTGGGTGGGGGCGGGTGGGAGGGGCGGGGGCGGGTGGGAGGGGCGCGAGAGGGTGGGAGGGGCGGGGGCGGAGGGGAGAGGAGCGGGAAGAGGAGGGGGGAGGGGTAAGGGAAGAAGGGGGCGGGGGGAGGGGGAGAAGGGGGCGGGAGGAGGAGGAGGGAGGAGGGGGGAGGGGCCCCGGGGCGGCGAGCCCAGAGCCCGGGCAGCGCGTACAGTGCGTGGCGCGCGCGGGTCGGCACTGCGCGCGGTACTCACCCAGAGGGGACCAGCAGAGATCACCAGAGTTCATCAGTGATCACTAGTACTCACCAGTACTCACCAGTACTCACTAGTACTCACCAGTGATCACCAGTTCTCACCAGTACTCACCAGAGATCACCAGAGTTCACTAGTGATCACTAGTACTCACCAGTACTCACCAGTACTCACCAGAGATCACCAGTACTCAGCAGGGATCATTAGTGATCACCAGTACTCACTAGTACTCACCAGTACTCACCAGTACTCACCAGAGATCACCAGTACTCACCAGTACTCACCAGGGATCACTAGTGGTCACTAGTACTCACCAGTACTCACCAGGGATCATTAGTGATCACCAGTACTCACCAGGGATCATTAGTGATCACCAGTACTCACCAGGACTCACCTTTACTCACCAGTACTCACTCGTGCTCACCAGGGATCACCAGAGATCATTAGCTCACTACTACTCACTAGTACTCACTAGTACTCACCAGGGATCACCAGGGCTCACGAACACTCACCAGGGACCACCAGGGATCACTAGTACTCACTACTACTCACTAGTACTCACCAGGGATCACCAGAGATCACGAACACTCACCAGGGACCACCAGGGATCACTAGTACTCACTACTACTCACTAGTACTCACCAGGGATCACCAGAGATCACTAGTACTCACTAGTACTCACTAGTACTCACCAGGGATCACTCGAACTCACGAGTACTCACCAGGGACCACAGGACACAGTGCTAACTCGTCCCTGCTCATCATTGACCGCAGGACCAAGCACACTCACTCGTGCCCACATCCCTCTGGGATTCGTGAGTCGTCCTGAGTCGTCCTGAGTCGTGGTGCTCACGGGACTCGGGACTCACGGCACCCCGCCGCTGCTGCTGCTGCATTCGTAAGAGAGCGCCTGGCACACACAAACTTGACACACACACAGCTATACACACACACGACTTTACACACACACACACTGACACACACACGACTTGACACACGACTTGACACACACACACAGCTATATACACACTATACACACACACGACTTGACACACACACAGCTATACACACACACACGACTACACACACACACGACTTTACACACACACACGACTACACACACACACCTTGACACACACACACGACTTTACACACACACACGACTTTACACACACACACGACTTTACACACACACACACGACTTTACACACACACGGCTCTACACACACACACGACTACACACACACACCTTGACACACACACACGACTTTACACACACACACGACTTCACACACACACACGACTTTACACACACACACGACTTTACACACACACACACGACTCTACACACACACACGACCACACACACACACACGACTACACACACACACGACTCTACACACACACACGACTACACACACACGACTACACAACACACACGACTACACACACGACTACACACACACACACACACACGACTACACACACACACGACTTTACACACACACACACGACTTTACACACACACACGACTACACACACACACGACTTTACACACACACACTGACACACACACACGACTTTACACACACACACGACTTTACACACACACACGACTACACACACACACGACTACACACACACACTGACACACACACACGACTTTACACACACACACGACTACACACACACACGACTTTACACACACACACGACTACACACACACGACTTTACACACACACACGACTACACACACACACGACTTTACACACACACACACGACTACACACACACACACGACTACACACACACACACGACTACACACACACACGACTACACACACACACGACTACACACACACACGACTACACACACACACGACTTTACACACACACGACTTTACACACACACGACTTTACACACACACACTGACACACACACGACTTTACACACACACACTGACACACACACGACTTTACACACACACACTGACACAACACACGACTTTACACACACACACGACTTGACACACACACACGACTTTACACACACACACGACTTTACACACACACACGACTTGACACACACACACGACTTTACACACACACACGACTTGACACACACACACGACTTTACACACACACACGACTTTACACACACACACGACTTTACACACACACACGACTTGATACACACACACGACTTTACACACACACACGACTTTACACACACACACGACTTGACACACACACACGACTTTACACACACACACGACTTTACACACACACACACGACTTTACACACACACGACTTTACACACACACGACTTTACACACACACACTGACACACACACGACTTTACACACACACACTGACACACACACGACTTGACACACACACACGACTTGACACACACACACGACTTTACACACACACACGACTTGACACACACACACACACGACTTTACACACACACACGACTTGACACACACACACACACGACTACACACACACGACTTGACACACACACACGACTACACACACACACACGACTTTACACACACACGACTACACACACACACGACTTTACACACACACACGACTTTACACACACACACGACTACACACACAGAGACCTGTCACAAAGGTGGTACACACACACACACACAGGCAGACCAAGTGGGCCGCACTCGTTACACGGGCTGCTGTACACCACGCCTCTAAAGAAGATCCATTACACCGAGTTACACATCATCATACAGCACGCACAGTACGCGGTTACACAGTACAACTAGCATACGGCGCATCGATTAACACCGTAGGACGTCGGGTGGTGCATTGCATCCTTTTACGCAGCACACAGCACAGAAGACGTCTGCTGCTGCTACTGCTGCACATGATTAACTCTGTACAAAGCAGCCGACACTTGACAGTAACTCTTACTCAATACGCGGCACTGTCTGTGCACGACTAGCACCCGAGACGACACACAGTGCAGAGGGCACTCGAGTCGGGGCAATACCACCACCACCACCACCGTCCTCGTCCTCCTGAATCTCGCCGGGGTGACTTCCCTAAGCCGCAAGGAGCAGCAGCAGCAGCAACCCCAAGGGCCCTCTCGCACCGCCGGTGAGTGAGTGGTGCGTGGAAGGTGGTTACCCATTGTAGGGTCATGAATATGTGAAAAAGAGCTTTATTGCTCATCGGATTCATCGCGGGGGTCTTTGTGCGGCGATGGGGTCCAGGGGGTTTACTCATTGTGGGGTCATGCGTCTGTGAAAGAGCTTTATTGCTAATCGGATTCTTCCAGTATGAAAAAAACCATTCAGAGTGTAAGGTTATCGAGCCACTGGTCCAGCGATTGGGATATTTGTGGTGGGGTCTGGGGTGAGGGGTCAGGGATATGGGGTCAGGGATATGGGGTCAGGGATATGGGGTCCGGTCATCAGACTCCGGGTTCACAGTTTTTGTCCGGTTGTCATGTGCCCGGCCTGTTGGAGAAAGTGTTGGGGGTGTTTGTGACGGGACGTGTTGTTTACTTGATTAAGGTGGTGTCCACGTGTTGTGTCTGTGTGTGTATTCGTGTGTGCCCCCATCATGGTAAACATTGGCATTATACCTACACGATCTTACGCAAAAGAACACAATTATGAATGATTTGTGTTTATATAGTCGCGTATTGTTGTGTTGGTGTGGTGCACATTTCAGATTGTCTGCGTGAAATGTACAAAGCTGCTTAATGTATTTTTGTTATATGCTATTTGAACCCGGTTTTCCTATTTTGTGAACTCCCGTGTGTGTATTCTGACGATTCGTTTGTGTGCGCACAATACATTGCTTACACTTGTGTTTGTGTACAGTATATGTGAACATGTGATTACTTCTGTACATGTCCGTGTAGTAATATGCGCGTGCGACTGGGCACATGTACGATCATGTGTGTGAGCAAAGTGCATGTGTGTGGAAGTTTGCGTATGAGCAAGCTCTTGTACATGTAAATATGTGGATGTGTGTGTGTGTGTTTATGAGCACGCCCTCGTAGGGCTGAACGATTAATCGATTTTAAATCGAAATTTGAAACAATGCGATTAACAAATCGCAAAGGCTGCGATTTTTAGCGATTTGAAAAGTCCAATTACTTTATTATTGGAATTGTTTTCTTTTTGATTAGTATAACTTATTTATTTAACTTAACAATTGTTCTATGTTTGATTGTTCAATTTCAATGGAAACATTTTAATAAATACATGTTGGAAGCAATTCATATCTTTGAAGTTCTCATCCTTGCATTGTCACATATAGAGCAGTTCATATGTTGATGGTATCATGTGGTAATGCTCCATCACATGTTTTAAATCTATTACACAGTGAATATTGAACTGAAGCTTGACTTAAAATCGTTCAGCCCTACACCCGAGTGCCGTAATTGTAGATGTATTGCACCACATGTACATGTATGTGTACATGTGTGTACGAGTACAGTTGTGCGTTTGTGTAAATTATGTGGGTGTCTCCCATCATCACACCCATGTACGTAGTGTGTGTGGATGTGTGTTTGTGTTTGTGGAGCGGTTAGCACGCTACCCAAGTTCGAATCCTGCTCACGATCAACACCAGTGACGATTATTTAATCTGAACCGGTCCTGGGCCTCCCCTAGGTCGATTCAGCCTCAATGAGTACCTGGTATGTGTAAACATGACTACTTGGGGAGACAAAGGCGGCCGGGCGTGGTGCTGGCCACCCACCCCCTCTATGTGCCGTGTCGGCCTTCATAGGTGCTACTCGCTAACAGCACCTGCCCCAAGTCTATTCAGGTTATACGGTGGATATTTGTATGTGAGAGCACACACATTTGTAAGTGCTCGACCATCAGCGTTGGTTTTGTTTTTGTCTTTGCATACCTGTACATATCTGTAAGAGCTGGATCATCAGCCTTGGTTTTGTTTCCCCATTGAACGATGTGTGATTAAAGAAGGGGGAGGGGGCTGTCTCACTCCGCCAGGTGTGCGTGTCTATTGTGCTAGCCCTGAATCAAGGTGGCTGACGAATTGGGAGGGCACACCTGGACGACACACCTTTACCTGCTGCTGCTCGCATCTTCCTGTCCGCCCTCTCTCTCTGGATACCTGATCCTTTGCCTTACCTGCACGAAATCTACCTGGCTGACTTACCTGTAAACGCTCCTCCTATCTCAGGCGCGGCGTGGTCTGTGTGCCAGTCTGTGTGTACAAGCAGTGGTTAAAACGTTGTTTTGAACAGAGGTGGATTGTGAAACTTCCCACCAGCCCTTCGTGTTAAGCTCAGTTGCATACTCTACCTTGTTGTTTGTCAGCTGTTCACGGAAGATATTTGCATGAATATGTAAGTGATTCACTATAATGTAAACATATTTCGCAATGTGTCTCCATTGTGTGTGCTCATACGGTATCTCCAAAATTTAATATCTTGCTTGTGAAACGTTGTTGATAGCCCTCGGTGTGTACGGTTTGGTACGGGAGGCTCGTTCGAGAACCCCCCCCCCTCTCCACCGTGTTTGTGTGTGTGGTTGTGACCGCGTGTGCAGTGGTGGTGAAGAGTTCCGAGTACCTGCCGTGTGTTTTTAGCCTTGCCTGCGTGCGGACGCTCGTGGCTTGCGCCTGCTGCTGCTGCGTGTTTGTGTGTGGCGTGAGCTTGGTTCCTGTCTTGGCAACAAAAAAAAGAGCCATTTTCCCCGTTGGAAGATTGGAAATTTCTCGTCGAAAGTGGCCTTCCGTGCCAGAACTGGGCAAAAGTACAGTGGTGTGGCCACTCGCCAAGATGGGAAGCGGGTCCTCCTTGTAAGAAGGGTAAAATTGTGACCTATACCTCCTCCCTTGTTTGTGTGTGGCCTTGGGTGTGTAAGTATGTGCCGGGGGTTGTTTGTGTGCGAGCTGAGCGAGTTTGTGTGTGACGGTGGTGGTGGGTGGGGGTGGTGGTGGTGGCGGCGGTCGGGGGGAGGGCTGAGTGATCAAGTGATCACATTCCACGCCCAACAACAAAACAACACGCGGGCCGCCACCGCCGGTGGTGAGGCTTGGAGCACGGGGGGTGGGCGGACGGACGGACGGGAGGGCCGGCCAGGCAGTGGGGGGTGTAGGCGGGGTGCTTCCCAGGTCCCAGGACTCCCAGCGGGCAGGCGGCGGCGGTGGTGGTGGGGTGGGTGAACGGGGCGGGTGGCGAGGTGGGTGGCTCCCCGGTTGAGGGCCACGGTTCCTGGCCAAAGAGACACCCCCCCCCCCCCCCGACAAAGCGTGACGCCCGTGGCTGCGAAGGGGCGCACTGTGGGGCCGTGGCTGTGTCTTGTCAATTGAGCTGGAGCCGGGGACGTGTGTCCGGCCGATGACGGTGTGTGTGGTGGTGGTGGTGGTACGGTGTGTGTGGTGGTGGTACGGTGTGTGTGTGTGTGTGGTGGTGGTACGGTGGTGGTGGTGGTACTGTGTGTGGTGGTGGTACTGTGTGTGGTGGTGATACGGTGTGTGGTGGTGGTACGGTGTGGTGGTGGTACTGTGTGTGGTGGTGGTACTGTGTGTGGTGGTGGTACTGTGTGTGGTGGTGGTACTGTGTGTTGTGGTGATACGGTGTGTGTGGTGGGTGGTGGTGGTACGGTGTGTGTGGTAGTGGAACGATGTGTGTGTGTGTGGTGGTGGTACGGTGGTGGTGGTGTACTGTGTGTGGTGGTGGTACTGTGTGTGGTGGTGATACGGTGTGTGGTGGTGGTACGGTGTGGTGGTGGTGGTACTGTGTGTGGTGGTGGTACTGTGTGTGGTGGTGGTACTGTGTGTGGTGGTGATACGGTGTGTGTGGTGGTGATACGGTGTGTGTGGTGGTGATACGGTGTGTGTGGTGGTGATACGGTGTGGTGGTGGTGGTGCGGTGTGGTGGTGGTGCGGTGTGGTGGTGGTGGTATGGTGTGTGTGGTGGTGATACGGTGTGGTGGTGGTGGTGGTCGTGCTGCCCGGTGTGGTATGGACCTTGTGAGCTGAGCTCTTGCGTCTTGCTTGCGACGTGTTGTGTTGTTTTTAACGCTTCAAGGCTCATTTCTCTCTACGTTTAAAAATGTGTGCATTCGTTTTGTTTTCTTCCAGTTTGTCGCGTAAGTGTTTTGTTTAATATTTAAAGTCTGCCGGTGGCTTTGTGGGAATGGGTTGGTAATAAATAATGGTTGATTTTGACGTGTGCTCACTCACCCGCCGTGACACGCTGAGATTACAAGTGGATGTTAAGCCACTCACTGCCTTTGATGGACAGCGAGTGAGTGATCAAGAAGACAAATGCAACTCTGCTCTCAGTCGCCTACATCGTGAACGTGATGTATTCAGCTATCGCTGTATGTCAACTTAACACATGGTCATGTTATTTTATCGTCATGGTTTTTGTGTATTGTGATGTCTTAAATGTTTATGTTATGTTGGTTATGATCTGTACTGGTTAACACTGGACTCTACTGTACTGACAAGATGTATACTGTACTGTCAAGATCCACTTTCGAACTGTACTCTTTGTATTTACGTGAAACTGTCCGCGTTATGAATACGCAATAATAATTTACTTCAACAGAAAATAGGAATGAAAATGCTTTTTTTTAATTCACGGGACATGAAGACGTAATGAACCTTATCCAGCAGCAGAGGCATACAATGCCAGTTAAATTGCTGCGTCTGACAGAAAACCCGCAATAATGCAGCATCATCCATATTTCTTACCTCGTCTTTCTTCTTTGCAGTGGTCGTGGCGGTGAGGAGTGACGCGTCGCCCATGCTCGCGTGAGGAGGCGCACGGAGAGCCTGTGGCGGAGTGCTGAGAGCAGGAGGACTACGACGCCATGGCGGAGGTGGCGGTGGTGAAGGAGGGCTGGCTCTACAAGCGTGGTGAGCCTCGCACATGCTGCTATCAGCTCGCCCCCCCCCCGGTGTGCTCACAATGTGATGGGGGGAGCATCCGCAAAGTGGCTCGGGGCACTGATACTGTGTCCGAACATCGAGCCGGCACCGCGGATATCCTGGGTTCGATACTGGATTTCAGCCACCCGTTGGTCAAACCCACGTTGTTTAATGTCATCTAGTCCGATGGGCTTATCCCGGCAGCCAAGGATTGTACAAACTCCCCACCCCATCGTACTAAGTGTTGTTAACACTTTAGCTTACTCCTGGTCTGAGAATAAAAAAAAATAATTTATTTACGTATGACGAACATCCTTTGCGAGGCTTTTAAAAGGTGACATCTGTAAGTGAAGGTAAGAGGTTGTTGAAGTGAATTCAAAAATGGTTATGTGACGTCTCCCAAGACCTGTTCTCAAAAACAAGAAAATGTGCTCAGTGGGAAATTTGGCATGTAAATATATTTGTCGAAGTTATGTAATGGCAATAAAATATTTGACATATAGCTGGAAATAAAAGCAAAAAAGAATGATAATTGGAATGCACAAATCACTATTAAACACTTGGGATAGCTGCTGTTATTGCCTCTGTTGGAGCCATGGTCTGGTTCACAAAAAGTCAAACTGCTTAAGTTTTCTACATCGAAAATGCTTTCATGTAACACTCGTCTTCATTGACAGCCCTGAATATGTTGAGGTCGACATCTGACCGGCATTTGAACTTATGACCTTAACATAGTGAGTGGAACCCTCGCTGTATGACACTGCGCCGCATGGCCAGATCTTTAATACAGCAGTGGATGAACAATAGCACCTAGAAATGGGGCGTCAAGAAATCGTTGAGGTAAATCAATAGGGATGAGCAGCAGCCTTGGGCCTTGCAAGGCAGGATGTCATTTGTCTTTCCAATGCGCACTTTCACTTGTAAATTGGCACATCTAGCATATGGTAGATGTGTAAAGAAAGGCCATGTGTGGGCCAGAAGGTCTTGGGGTTTCCCATCCCTGGTCCAGGATGTGGCTATCGAAAATGTAACGTCCCAAATTTAGCCTCGCATTGATATTAATAGCAACAATTGAGCACTGTATTTAAGTATGATTGTATGCGACTCGTATTGTGTTAGGGGCCCTTGTGTTTGGCTGTTTCCTGCAGTAAATGCATATTAATGAAATATATTGTCGCATTGCCAGATAAAACATTTCTGTTCGAAACAAAGTATCAGGTGGAGATACATTGTAATTCTATACGGTGTGTAGTGTGCCTGTTTGCAGCGCCCATTGAACATACTGTACTGTGTAGAGGTGGATGCAGACAGGGGTCTGTGGTGAAATATTATTAAGAATGTATGAGTGTAAATACTATTGTGAATTTCCAAGGAAATATGCTGATCAGTGCTAAATAAACGAAAAAAAGTTTTGTTTACAGAAATACTCGTGTATGCTGTTCAGCGTACACGTATGTGCTTGCGGTTTATGGCAGGAGGTTCAGCAAATGCTAAGGGTGTTTTCTGTGCTGCTGAATTCGAGGAAAACGTTTGGAAATTTACTTGGTTGCTTCACGTGATTGTCAGATGATTTGATTAGGCAGTTTTTTTCAATGGGTAAAAAAAAAAACCCGTCCAGCCGAGCGAGTTGGTAAAAGTTAATACTTTTTTTTAAGTGGTCCATGAAATGTGCTGTTGAGTGCAAGCTTGTGCAAAAGGTCATTTTGTGCGGATGAAAATTTTTAAGCGCATTGTGAGATGGCGAATGGCATTTGGGTTTTTTTCCTCCCCCCCGGTGGCGTTGACTCGCATGCTGCAGAACAGCGACACTCAATGACGTCACCTGACCACCACCGCCTGTGGTCAGCAAGACTGTGCCTCTGCTCTGCTTGAGAACAGCTGTCCATTGATAAAACCTTGGGTGTGGAGTAGTTGTGCACTCGCAATAATATTGTGGCATCCGCTTGTACCTCGGTGAAATACTTGCACATTTTTTTTTTAGCACGCGTGCTTCGTTCGGTCTGTGTCTCTCTCTTGAATGTTGTCGTCGAAGTCGTCGTGTGGTGTTTTTGATTGTCATTCGCGAGGTCTAAGGTGTGTTTTGTTTTATTACTTTCACTCGTTGTTGTGGTGCCTCGTAACTACAGTATGGTGCGAGATGAGCAGCTCCGTGCTTATCGGGGTCGCACGTCCTGTTTTTGACCTTATCGTGCCTCGGCAAACATGAAAATATCAAATACCACGGTGCAGTTTGCACTGCAGAACAAAAAGTAAATGTTATATTACCGTGAAATGCTTTGAGCTTTATCTGTATTTGATTTGAGGAATTCAGTCATGTTGCATACTTTTTGGCAGAAGTTTAAAATTGTCAATTATGATTTTTTGTTCTGTTTTCGTAAAACGTTGCAGGTTTTTGGCTTACAATATCGTGAAGTGCTTCAGTGTTTACTGTGCGAAAGCGCCTTTACATTGTAGCAACAACACATTTGTACTGTCACTTGCAAATCTGTGTAAAATTAAAGGAAAGTCACATAGGTAGAAAAATAAAATAAAACAAAAAATTATAATATATCACGCTGGTTCAGCAGTTCCACTGCTGGATTATTTTTTCCACCTGAGGATGACCACTTGTGTTGCGATCGAAACGTCGTGATATTTTTTTTTATTTTTTTTTATTTTTCTACCTACGTGACTTTACCGAAAGAACCAAAGAGTATGGATTCCTGCAGTCACGAAAGCTTCAAGTCAAGATTGAAGGTTTCTGTCGTTTAGCTCATAAACGTAATTCAGAGATCATCATTATTATCACTGCCGTTTGAAGTCTTGGGTATCTCTGTTTAACTGCGCTCACAGAACAGAGCACGGTTCGAGATAGGGTTGAAGTAACGCAATACCGTACAATATGGCGATAAGAATTGCAGCATCTCACAGAATGAATTGTGTGTTTCTCTCCACGTCTCGATTTGTCTTTTTAATGGCAACCTTTGTGCTGATGGTACATTTGTGCCAAAAGACTCTTAGGTAATTGCCGCGAGATGTCGTTGCACACGGAGTTGTATCGTGTCCTGTTGCAGTGAATGTACGTGGAAACTTTTTATGAATGGCATGCATATTCTCGTTGAATGTCTTTTGTGAATAAGACGCTCTAATTAGCCCCTTACTTTAGTATTCCGCCATAATATAAAATGCTTTAATGAAACATTGCTTCCCATTTGGTTTACGTAAAGATCAAGGGTGCGTAGCGGATTTTGAATGACATCGTTGTCCTCTGAAGAACATTACAAACTAAGGCTGTTGGCGTATTAGGCCTAAACTGGCTTACGGGTTACAGTTGAAAGATCGAATTTACTGCGTGTACAGTTTCGGCGAGTTTGACCTCTGCTCCGCGATTCTCCATTCGCACCGACGTAAAGCCCAGTGGGGATCCTTCCTGGCTTCAAGCATGACCAGTCAAATGGCCGTAATATAAAAATCATGACAGCATGCTTGTGGGCCTACTGTTATATATTTTCCCGTCAATAAAATGTGTTAGAAGTTTGAAAATGTAGGATAAGGCTCCTTTGGATCATGACTTGTGTTTATTTTTTGTGTGAAAGCAGCCTTTGTCAGCCAAACTGCCGCTACACGAGTCGCCATTTACGTCCTGCAGCGTTGAACATAAATCCAAGCGAGTTGTGTGACTTCAGCTTTTCGGCTTTTGTATTTTGAAACCGCATTAACGCGAATTGTTCATTGCCACTTCCTCAAAAGTTGTTTAGACTGAAATCTTAATTGGACATGTATAACAGGCTTTGCAGTGCATTTTGGGACGAGCATTCATTTTGTGAATTGTCTCTAGCTATGTGTGACCGAATGTTTAACTCGGCGATGATTTGTAAAATCCTTACATCGTGACGATATTTTGGACAAGATGCACATTACAATGAGTTACGAACCTGTCATACAGGTTGAATTTTAGTATATTGAGTTTGTGCAATAAACGTACCCCACCAACTTGTGTGTATTTCAAATCGGTAGTGGGTTTGTGACATAAATTAAATTGTTATATACGGTATACACACAAACTATGACATCTGACAAAAACTAAATTACTTGTCCAAGTTGTCTAATTCTTTGACTGCTTTGTGTGCATAGTAGAGTTATGTAGGTTTGGATAGGCCAAAACGAGATAATATTGAACACGCCATTTAATGCGTATATTTTTCAGGTTGGGTTTAAGAAAAAAATGCTGGTGGAAGCTATTTTGGGCTCGGTGAAAACACATGACGTAAAGCGCGTGTTTGTTTCTTCATGTTTTACTTTCACAATGGAGTTGTGCAGGGGAAAAAAAATCGTATACATGGAAAGGAAAATGTGTTTGGACCGTGTGAATGGAGTGTAACGGTGGGTGGATCGAGTGCATTCACAGAGTGTGGTGTTTACAGACGAGCACAGCAACGAGCGAAGGTCACAAGGGTTTTTTGTTAATCATTTGCCGTAAGAACCCTGGAGGTATGGAGTGTTTTGATGGACTGGGAGAAAGTTGCATCTTTTTTTCATGCTAAAATTGATTACTCACCTCGGTGGTATCAGTTTTAGATTGATTCGTGCTCACGCCGTTAAAGAGGATGTTATTAATATAACAAAATTTCGCTCAACAACAGGATGTGTGAGTAAGAACAGCATGCGTATGGTGTGCAGTCAGATTTTTATCACCTCATGACTACTGTGAAAAAGAACCCCATTAATGGGTTTGGAGTGGTGTGAATGTCTGAATTGTGTACTTAGCAATTACAGCTAAGTTTTCGGTAGATAAATGTATTGCCTGTGGACAAAAAAAACGATGAGAAGATGGCTCTTCATGCTGTCGCCATTCCCCAAATAGAAATGGCTTTTGACAGGACTAAGCAGGAGCTGGCTGGATCCCAGGTGCGTGTGTCAAGTAGCTGGTACGTCCGCAGCCCGCACTGACCCAGGAAGTGCTATTTAAAGCAGGTTTGGCAGATTGGCTTGGGTTGTTGCTGCATTGG